CAAACTTCTTTTTTTGTTGTTTTCAAGACAGGGTTTTCTCTGTAGCCTTGAAACCCATCCTGAAACTCACTCTGTAGACCAGGTCCCCCACCCCCACCCCCAGGGAAAGTAACAGTCTCAGCTCTTACAGGTAGAGGCAGTGGCAGGAAGTTCTCTGTGAGGCCAGCCTAGCCTACACAGGAGTTCTAGAGGCAGACAATGAATCAGCTACACAGTGAGACTCAAGGAAAAAATCCCCCCACAACAAACAAAAAAGGTATATGTTATAACAACATATTGTAGCTACGATCACATATTACCTAATAAAAGTAACTTTACTTCAGAAGTGTTTTGTGTCATTACCATACTTCAGAAGTGAAATGTTTCTATCAAAATTAAACCAAGGAAGTATAGCACTCTGAAATATGAAGAGGGAAAAAAACAAAGGCCTGGGCTGGATATAGTTCAGTAACAGATGGTTCGTCTAGCATGCACGGGACCTTGAGTTCAATCCCACCTCAACCAAAACAACAAAAAGTGAGCTATCATATTTACCTTTTTCTAAGACACTAGGCTTTACTACACTTACATAATTAAATCTCCAACACAGTATCACGTACAAATTTGAAACTTTTATAATCAAGAAGTTAGTAAAAGGCTCTTATCCTTACCAACCTAACTGCCTGATCACACTACTGAAAGCTAACCCCAAGGGTGTTCTTTCTTGTAAAAAAGATTTGAAAACAAGCTGGGGCTGTAGCTCAGTTGAGTCCCTAGGTTCCTGAGCATAGGCGATAGGAAGACAAAAAGGGAGAAGGTACAGAGGGGTAAAGGAACATGGTGATTTCAAAATGACTAAAACACTAATTAGAGAAAACCAAAAGCAGCAACCACAAAAACACAGACAGGAAAAGCTGGGAAGCTCACTCACCTGCCTAGCATTCATTTGCAAAGTGTCCTGTCTCTAGCACCAACACACAAACCAGATAAGCCTATGCACTCAAAACCCTAGTTGTCAGGTAGTGGAGGCACAGGGTCAAGTTCAAGGCTAACCTGAGATTTGAGGTCAGCCTGCAATAAAAGAAACCCCCGTTTAAAATGGGGGGTAGGGAGGAAGGAGGCAGTAAAGTACCAATTATGGGGCTTTTGGAACTTTTTCAAGGGTATTTATTAACTGCTAGAAACTGATTAGTTCTGTCAACTTAAAATGTCTTACATTCATCAAGTATAAACTCCAAAACCCAAATAGTCCATAATTTTATCCTATTTTACCTTCACTGAGATTACAGAACAGTGAGATGGGAAGTGGTTTACATCACATAGCTGGGGTCTGCCCAAATTTCCAAGACCCCCATTGAATAGCCTCCGCTAACACAATTCTGCTAACATCATCATGGCTACATTCTATAACAAAACTTAAACAGCAGTATTCAGGGGCAGTCTTGGCTGTCCTGGAACTTGCTTTGTAGACCAGGCTGGTCTTGAACTCCTTGTAGAGATCCTTCTGCCTCTGCTTCCTGGGCAGAGGCCAGGATTAAAGTTGCACACATCAGCTACCACCAATGCCTGACTAGGTCATTCTAATTCTAAAATCAGTTGACTAACATAAAAGATAAGAGCTGAAGAGATGCCTGGGGGAGTAAAGGTGATTTGGTACCAACACACACCCACACACACACACCCACACACACCCACCCTGGAGGAGCATGTGTGCTAGTACACTCTCACTCTCTCATAAAAAAAAAAAAAAAGGAACAAGGAAGAATCACTGGAAATCTAAAGCTATCACATTCTTCTTAATGTCTTATCATTGATCATACCTACTGCATGAATAAACTAAATTAAATTCAAAGTTGAAAAAAAAATCCTACAACCAAAAAACCTTTTAGTCTTATACTATTGTTTTTACCTATTTTCTTTAAAAAAAAAAATAATCACAACTGCATTTTACAGGAAACATTTTATGTTTTCTAAGGAATTATTCATTGTACTAATATTTTTTAAGGCAGCCTTGCTCTGTAGCCTCTGAAACTTGCAATCATCTTGCTTCAACTTCCTGAGTGCCAGAAGAAACCACTAGTAGGATTATCTCACTACTTTCTATGCAAGGTAAGGTTACAATACACTTTTAAATGACTACACATAACACATCAATATTCATAAAATATAAATTATACATGTTACAACATCAAAGATAGGAGGGAGAGAGCATTTACTCCCAATATCTCATACTTTAAAAGAAACATTCACCAACTCATGTACAAGGACACAGACCTTCCACTCTTGGCTCTGATAGTTTTTAACAAATCTCCATTATCTAGGTGATACTACAGCAGACTGCCAAGAGACTGCCAATCCGAATTACAGTTGAATTCAAAGGTTCCCACTAAAAACTAGACATTATAGGAGACACTGTAACTTTCAACAGCTACTTTTTCTGACCATATCAACTTATCAAATGTTCTTAGAAGCACAGCTATTTAGACACCAACCCATTCCTTGTGGTGATATAATCTTGGGGGATTTAGTAATTACGTGCATTACTAACAGAGAACAGTGTTTACTGACATGACCATCACAGAAACTAAAAAGGTGCTCTCACTTATTTCTGGAGTCTGCACAGAAACAAGACACCCAACATCAAAACACAAGCGCCTTTCACTTCCAAAAGAATATCAAGGTAGCCAGTTCAAGAGCCATGGTGAAGAAAGGAGAAACACTAATAATGTGAAAAAAGTTCAAGTCAAAACATACAATGACACATACAATGACAAAGTACCAGGCAGAAACTGTTAAGACTTTGTGTGGGGGGGTTGGGGTGGGGGGAGACAGGATGCCAAATGAAGAGACAACCAACCACTAAAAACAATTAAAAACTGACAAGATTGAAAGTTTTAAACAGAGGGAGAAAGAGAGCTCAGGGCATAGAGAGCAATTAGAAGACTTGCTGCTCTTGCAGAGGACCTGGGTTCAGTTTTCAACACTGAAATGCCAGCTCACAGCAGCCTGTGACTCCTGTTCCAAAGGACCTCATGCCCTCTCACTCCCTCTTGGCCTCCACCAGCACCAGGCACACACGTGGTGGTACTCATGGAGCATTTACACACACTCAAGCAAACACTCATAACACAACATAAAAATGGAGACAAGAACGATGATACACTGTCATTCCAAGAACCTGAAACAGGAGGATCACTTTCAGACCAGCATAGATCGTACAGTGATCCCAAGGCCAACCCAGTAACCGTTTGAGTTTGAGATCCTGTCTCAAAGAAAAGCAAAAACAAATCAACAACAACAAAAAAAATTTAACAATTTGTGGGGGTTAGGGGAGGGGGATGTAGGTGCACTAACTAAATACTAAACATTAAAAAGAAAATTAAAGCTCTTGTAACAGTACATTCACTGTCCATTTGGAAGTCCTACAACAACATTTCTTTAAAGAAGAAGAAAGAAAAACCCACCAGTGCAGGCCTTCAAGCCTGACACTTTCAGACAGTGGCAGGTGTGTCTCTCTGTGAGTTCAAGGCCAATCTGGTCTACACAGTGAGTTCCACACTAGCCATCCCAGGTTACATAATGATCTCCCCACACCCTGCTCTTAAAATAAATAAAAATTATCTAAGTATTATTGCAAGAATGTATTTTTTAAGTCTATATTGTTGGAAAATTCTGTAATAATCAGAATAACCTCCATACTTATTTAGAGGTGGTGTATTTCACAGCAGGCCTACAAAAGGAACTCGGTGATTGCACAACCAAGAAAGTTAATGAAATAATATCTATTAACATCCAGTGGCCATGGCATGTTTATGCCAGAACATACTGTGACTTTTATGCTCTCTTCACTGCACAATTTTACCACTTCTCCATCCATGGAGTCGCTCAAATATAAAGAGTTCCTGTGCTAATCCCACAATAAGCCTCAGTAATGCTCACATCACAGTAGCTGTAAACTTTTGTTAACTGAAAAAGAATGTTTTTCCCAAAATAGCCACAAAACACGAAGACAACTCAAATTCTCTAATAATCCCTTTACAAGACTACTGCCAGTTTTATTTTGATATATTAAACATGTGGGACCTATTTTAAAAGTTCCCTGTGACTTATCACGGCTGCTTCGTAGTTGTTTTTAAGTTTCCAAGTTGTTTTTAGAAGCGCTTGAATACTGATGAATCTGGGCTGCTATCAAATGCTTAAGAGGCATTTTTTTGCCAAATAAGATAGGCAAACCTAAAACCGGTAAACTTCTTAAGAGCGCTAAAACTGGTATTAGAAATCATGCAGCTTTTTTTTTTTTTTAATTTAGATCCAACAATCCTCAAGCCCTTCATTTGGAAAATTATTTCAGAGTTATTTTCACTCTATACTTCATGATACTCCCCCCCACCAACGGCTTTTAGAGTTAAAAGTACATAAAAGTGATCCGCCACATAACACTGGCGGATTCTTAATGGACCTCCAATAGATTTGGGATAAAGTTCGTAGCAATTTAAGAAGTCCGCTGATAAGCACACACCCTAAAAATTGGGAGAGTGTTGGGAACCGGCCGGGTGGTGAAGCGGGGGTAGAGACCACACAAACACACACGACCCCAGTGTGCTTAGGAAGAGCGAAAGAAATGGTTTAAAAGCGCTGGAGGAGGAAGGAGGCAAAGGCAGAAACGCCAGAAAGATTTCACAAGGAAGTGAAGCGGGCACCGGGGAGGGCAAAAAGCGACCCGGAGAGCAAGGTTTAAAGTGGTATTTTCAAATGCGGCGTGCAGCACTGGGCGAGCCGGGGTGGCCCAGGCGCCCACGGGCGCTGCCTGCCCGCCGCAGCGGTAGAGGGGAAGCAGGCGACTTCCAGGCGAGCCGGCAAACTACTCGCTTGCCGCGCCCCCCCCCCAAGCCTCGAGGGCGAGCGGAGGCGGCGGCCCGGGCCGGGGCCTAGCCCGGCACTCGGAGCGTAAGCTGGACAGATGGATGGACTGACGGCCGTTCCCCACTCCGCCCGCGGGGCGCCCCGCCGAGCGGCCTTACCTGAGGCGAAGGGAGGAGGCGAGGTCTCGCGGGCTCGCCCGCCGCACAGCCGCCCGCGGCCCCCGGCTTTCTCCCGAGACGCGACCCTGCCTCCGCCGCCGCCCGGGCTGTTTACACCGTTCGGCCCCTCACGCCGCCGCCGCCGCCTTCTCTCCACCCCAGCGCCGCTGCCGACTCGGCCGCCGCCACCTCCGCCGCCGCAGCCTGGTCTCTCTGGAGCATCTTCCAGCCACCGCGCGCGGAGAAACAGAGACTCCAGCCGCGCCGCCAAGAAACTCCCCCGCAACTGCCAGGGGGACCAGGCGGTCAGAGCACCAGCGGCTTTTCCGCCATTGAGCAGCGGCCGCACCGCTCCTTCTGCAACCCCCACCCGGCACCGCCGTCTTTCCCCGCCCCTCTTCAGGCTCCGCCCCCTGCGGCCACCCATTGGGACGCCGCGCGTGTCTCCACGGCTCACGGTTCGCTGAAAGGCATGTCAATCTCTGCCCTCCCGCCCAGTCCGGCCCCCAGTACCCTGTGTGCTTCGCTTTCCCCGCCCACGAGGCCCCGCCTCTGTGTCTTTAGTTTCCCATTGGGCGTCATTGCCCACCTTTAATTGGCCAGGTCAACTATCTATCAAACACCACCCACCAGTGAGGCCCAACCCTTTATTACCATTTACTTTATGCAGCCCCGCCTCCGCTTTGCTCCACCTCCCTAAGTCACCGGCCAGCCCACCCTAGCAGCCATAGGTAGATTCCTCCGTCTGTCAAATTACGCACACTTGTCTGATTGGTCCGGAGGCCTGACCCTCTGGTCATTGGCTCGTTCTACTTGTCCCAGTTTCCAAGTCGGTCACTCCAGCTTTTTTTAAACGAACGCGCAAAAGTATCCCAAAAGCGATTGGCTGATCTTCGGAAGCGGCCAGGCCCCGCGTCCGCAGACCCTGCAGTTCCGTCACCTCGAACCCTCGCGTAAAACGAACGCCATAAAGGAACCAACGGGCAGTGCAGTTATAGGTGGAGGCTGGTACCACCCGACGTGGAGAGAGCCAGCTCCTGATTGGCTAGGAAAGTGCCCCAGGGGTCCTGATTGGACTAGACAGACGCCTCTCTTCGAAGTAGAGACTTGAAGGGAGAGCAAGGAGAGGGTCGACTTGGAACTTGCAGGGGGGCGTTGTTTTGTTTCAGCCACGGGTGGGGCCCACGCGGGAGTGGGAAACCCGGCGCATAGGGCTCTGGGGAGGTGTTTCAGGGAGGGGGAGAGGTCCGGATGTTCCCTAACAATGAAATCATCTCTGGCCAATCAGTGTCTCATTGTTGGGATACCTGCATGACCTGTCTCCAGCAAGGAAGAGTGGGTGGGAAGTTGAGAAAATGGGACAGGACATCCCTTCAGGAGGATTTTGCGATGGTTCTGGTTGTTCTAAGGTCTTCTTTGCCGGGACCGCCTGCAGTTCAGCCCTTGGCAGCTCCGCGTTTTGTTTCTCAGCGCTGATTTTTAAAACTCCCGTCTAGGTGCTTGACATTCCCTAGGTCATTTCCTTAATAAAAGAACACCTGCTGTTTGCTAGCCATGGTGGATAGAGCAGCTGGTCCCAGCCCCGGATGGTAGGTGATCCCTGAAAGGTGTGCTTAGGGTTCTGATAACATTAAAGAGTTCTCCCTGTATATATGGTTGCAAGGAATACTTAGCAAAGACCGGGGTGAATCCAGAATTACAGGAGTTCTATGAAGCCATTAAAGGAAATGTTCGTCTAGCAATCATATTTGGCTAGACAGTGAGCCAGGTTAATTCCTCCAAATGAAAATGTAATGGGGTGTTTAAACCTTGAGAAGTTTTTAAAGACACAGGCGTTGATATATACACAAATCTCTGAAGTAATAAGTTAGTCTGGACAACTTACTCGGTTTTGGAAAGAAGGGCATATTTCTGAAGTGGTTGCCACGGTGAAAGTGGAAGAAATAAATGCTTGATTGCAATTCAGATTTTTCTGGAACCTCAAGTTCCAGAATGGTGTCTGAGGGCTTCTATTACTGCAATGAAACACCATGACTAAAAAGAAACTTGGAAAGGAAAGGGTTTACTGCTATTCTATATCTGCATTGTAGCCCATCACTGAAGGAAGTCAGGACAGGAACTCAGAAAGTGCAGGAACCTGGAGGCAGGAGCTGATGCAGAGGCCATGGAGGGTGCTGCTTACTGGCTTGTTCTCAATGGCTTGCTCAACCTGCTTTCTTATAAAACACAGGGCCACCAGCTCAGTGGCATGGGCTGGACCCTCCCCCATCAATCACTAATTAAGAAAATGTTCTACAGACTGGCCCACAGCTGGATCTTCTGGAGTCATTTCCTCAATCAAAGTTTCCTCTCAGGTGACTATAGCTTGTGTTAAGTGGACACATATGATGTTTTTACAGCACAGTGGGCAAACAGCATCAGAATCACCTGAGATCTGAGGTTCATTCATCCTTACAAAATCCGGAACTCCGGGGATAAATATGGGTAGAGACCACACACACAGACACGACCCAAAGTTATCCTTTTTTTTTTTTTTTTTTTTTTATGTTATCCATTATGATTCTGAGGATTGAATCTCAAAGGGTAATTCTTAAAATAATTCTTCACATGCTGGGTTTTTTGTTTGTTTGGGGTTTGGTTTTTGTTTGCTTGTTTGTTTTGCACAACAACTCTTAGATGCTATGGCACTGAGGATTGGAGACAGCCATAAACATTCCTTTTCATTTTTGCATATTATAGAGTGAGCATCAATAAAGAAAAGGAAATAGCTCCAATTTAGTTCTCATCTTTTCAAGGATCTGCACTGTGGGATCGAAAAGTTTTTATTTTAATTCTGTGTGTGTTGAGAGGGGGGTGGTCCAAGGACAACAGAGTCAGCTCTCACCATCATATAGGTCCCAGAGATGGAAACTTGGGTTATTGGGCTTGGTGGCAGGCTCCTTTACTGGAACAGCTGTTTTTGCCAGCCTAGGAAGTAGTCTGTAAATGACTTGTAGAATAGTAGATATAATAGACAAGCCTGGCATGTCTTATATAAAGATATTATAGCCTGGGACTTCACTTTCCAAAATAAGGACCATGCTAAAAATCAAGAAGTAAGGACCATTGGACATCTTAGCCTTGAAGCCCCAGGCAACCATAGATAGGCACTACTTGATTCCAACTTTCATTAGGAAGACCCTAAAAAGTGATATAAAGTTCAGTCATATAACTGGGCTGATGACTGCACATCACCCATTCTCCCGTTCTTTAGTCACTAAAAATAAAACATGCTGAGGTGTTTTTAGGTCTAAGAATACAATTAGATCACAGACAAAAACAATTAGGCTAACTTTCTTGTATAAGTTACTCAAGTTTAACAATGAGCCCTAAAGGAGGTCCAACAAGATTCATAAGTAAACATCCATGTCTGTCATGGTAGAAGCGTAATGTGTCATACACAATGAGTACTGTCATAATGCCTTCTGCAGCTACTTAGTCCTGTGATGATGCAGTTACTAAACTCTGTGCCTTGGCTTGTCTAATCCTAACACCTTTTTCAAGAAACACATGAAGAGCTGTTAACACTCCTAGAAATGGACAGCACTCCCCAGTATTTCATTTAAAATGTAAATAATACTAAGTGTAAAGTAGAAAATCCTTCGGATTTAGAGACTCTTAATTTCTTTTTGTTTGTTTGGGACTGTTTCACTTTTGTTTGTGTAGCCCTGGCTGTCCTGGAATTCGACATGTAGACTGGGCTGGCCCAAAATTCACAAAGATCTGCTTGTCTCTGCCTCCTGGGTGCCAGGATTAAAGGTGTGCACCACTGATCTAGCTCTAGGGTTGCTTTTTAAATAAGACATCAAGACCAGAAGATGGCTTCAGTCATAAAGAACTTGCCTTGCAAGCACTACAGTCCGACTTCCATCCCCAGAATGTAGGTAATAAAAAGCTGAGTTTGGTGGCACAGGATTGTAATCCAAGCACAAGGGAGGCAGAGACAGGTTTACTGGTCAACTAGCCTAGTCTAAAGCAGGCCCTTCAGGAAATAATACCCTCCCCTGTTTCAATATATCTGATTAAGATATGTGATTGGTTTAATAAAATGCTAAGTGGTCAGTATGGAGGCAAGAGGTATTGCAGGGACTTCTGGACAGAAAGAGTTCTGGGAAGAAAAAAGATGAAGTCTCCAGGCAGACTTGGAGGAAATAGGATGAGCAAAATGAAGATGAGGTAACAAGCATGTAGAAGAATGTAGATTTAAAAAATATGAGTTAATTTAAGTTATAAGAGCTAGTTAAAAACAAGCCTAAGCAAAGGCTGAGCTTTCATAGTTAAGTCTGTGCCATTTGTGTGTGTGTGTATGTGTGTGTGTGTGTGTGTGTGTGTGTGTGTGTGAGAGAGAGAGAGAGAGAGAGAGAGAGAGAGAGAGAGAGAGAGAGAGAGAGAGCTGGCAGCCCAAAGGAAAGTCCAACTGCAACCCCCCACCACAAACACACATACACACACACACAAACACACACACACACATGCCCTTCAGCACGAACACACAAAAATATATCAGATAATTATTCATTTCCAACAAACCCATATGGTCCCTAAGTCCATCCTGGATACAGTGCTTCCAACACCACACAGTTATTTGAGAGTTACCTAGATAGTGGTTCCTAATACCTAGAGAGCAGTACCTATGCTTTGCATTGGGAATCTTCATACGTTTACATTAAGAAAGTCTTATCTGTGTCCCAGTCTCATACAAATTACTGAGCTTTCTTGAGGCTCTTGGTATCAAGCTTCGAGTACCCTCTGTACATTGAAATATGGGGACTGAACCTAAGTCTTTATAGGTAGTAGACCAGCACTCTACCGTAGTGGTCCATACCTGAAGTCCCAGCACCTGGGAGGTAGAAGCAAGAGGATCAGGAGTTGAAGAGTATTCTTGGCTATACATCAAGTTTGAAGACAGCCTGAGCTACATAAGACCCTGCCTCAAAAAAAAAAAAAAAAAAAAAAAAAAAAAAAAAAAATTAAAGTCTCTCACTGCACATTCTAGGAATCCATAGAGTTGGGTAGTATGACAGGTACTGCTGGCCTTCAGACAGGGTCCTATGTAGCTTAGGTTGGAACTTCCTACATACATAGCCAAGGCTGGCCTCAAACTCATAGCAACCATCCTGCTTTATCTTCCCAAGTTCTGGGCTTACATACATGATCCACAATGACTGGTGGACCATTCTATTTTCTTAGAAATGTTTTAACCTTTATTTTCCTAAAACTATATTTTTTCCCTTAAAAATGCTTCAATATTACCAGAGAGAACCCCCTAAGGTTGGGGGATATATGCCTAGGTGCAATGATATTGAGCAAGAATCCGAAGTATATGTGTCAAAAAACAAAAAAACAAACAAACAAACAAGCAAACAAACAAACCTACCTTAAAAATTCCCCCATGAGGCCGGA